AGGGGGGCATATCGTCCTACGGTAGACATGTTATGGTGATAACTTATCTAGATTGGTATACATATTCTTAATCTATTATTTTCATTTATCTATAAACGATCACTTACGTAATCATCGGAGGGCCGTTGGCTTAAGGCCAACGACCAACCCTAACAACGTTTTGAGTACAGAAAACCAAACGAGACGCCAAGTTTAATGAAGCACCATCAGTAAGTTACTTTAATACGTCACAGGTCCTTGTAAGTTCATTTAGAAAACAATGACGTATCAAGTACGACGAATCTGTTAAAGCGTCATGTTCAATTTGTGCATTTCCTTTGAATTATTTTTTGTGCATGTTTTAATCTAAGTAACTTATCTCATTTCTAAGCTTGAGTTCAATAATTTTTGGATCCTTTATGGAAACATTATGTGGTCATCTTGTTCATAGAAAGTTGTGACGTATTCGGTGTAGAGTATACATTTCCGCTTCAAGATATATTCATTGCTTTTACTGACTTAATCATCAGAGGGCCGTTGGCCCAAAGCCAACGGCCAGCTTCGACGGTTTTTAATGGGAAAGGGCTGGGCTGCCCATGAGAAGATCATGGATAACAGTCCCAGCCGGCCCTTACAACATATATATTTTTTGGCCAAAACCTACACACGTATATGACACCGCACGTGCAACCAAAACATATATGACAACGCGCGTGCAACCAAAACATATGTGACAACGCACGAACAACAAAAAATATAGAACTACACAACAGAAGCACATGCTCCAACATAAGGAGATAGTACAAACGAAAAACGTAACGTTATTTAAAGTTTTTGCAGGATATGTACCAAGTCATTATCTTCAACGACAGATGATGTTCTATTTTCCAGCTGAAGTGTCGACATCAATATGAAAGATGTTGCAAATTTCTGTCATTTAGTCGTCAATGCAATTTTGGACGGGAGAAGATAAAATGTTACCTTTCAATCTTCGTTGTTTCAAGCAGAGAGACGGTTTCAATCAAAAACTTCTTGCAAGGGAAGTGACAAGTTGACGGAAGCGTCTTATCTGAGGATTGACGGGTTGAAGAAAGTGTTTCGTCAAATGAGTGACAAGTTGATAGAAGCGTCTTGACGAGTTGACGGAAGCGTCCCGACGAGTGACGGGTTGACGACATGTCAGGGAGATGACGAGTTAATGGGCAATAATGACAAGTTTAAGTTATTTCAAATTTCGACAAGTTGATGCTTAACGACTTGACACGGACATTCATACGCTTCAACTTCTCGAAAGGGGGCAATTGTTGGGCCGTGAAAATATGAATAACAGGCCGGCCCATTGTTGGTAGCTGATTAATGATGAGGTCCAAATGGAGAGTAGAGGTCCAGCCAAACAAAGTGCGGGCAAAGTGGCTTAGTGCAAATGGATAAAGAAGAATAAGTCTTGGAGCAAAAGAATAGCAACTGCAAATAGGAGTGCTAGCTATTTTAGTGGATCGTGGAGTCAAAGATAGGTGGAGAATTCCAATTTAAATAGTAGAATACATCGCATAAGAAAACATTCAATCCTGATCATAGCTACACATTATAAACTCTTGTAACCAGCAGTATTATTCATCAAATTAATTCTAATTTTAGTTGTTCATTTCTTTTGATTATTATCTTGTTCGATCCCATTCTCAATTAATTGATTGTTAGAAGAAATAATTATTTCTTGCCTAAACAAGTATTAAGCTTGTAAGATTTGTTCGGTTTCTTCCCCTTTACGGTAAAAATTTAGATCATCCCTACATTTTAAAATATATTAAGCTTGTAGGATTTCAGTTAATTCAAATGTTAGTTAATTCATCATGTGAACTTTAGTGTTAGTTAGTTAAAAAGTGTTTCTGAATTATTATTGTGAATACAGATCATCCCTACATTTTCAAATATTTATTAAAGTGTAGTTAGTTGGAATTGTTTGTAAAAATTGTTGAATTTTTATTTTGCATATATTTCGAGGTGGTTTTGAAATATATATATATATATATACACATTATATATATACATTATATATAATATGACTAATTATTGTTTATGGTTATAATTTAGAGTTTTTAACCTATGTAATATTTTGATAATAATATTCGGGTATAATGTATAGTCAAAATAGAAGTTGGATGTATGATTGACATGACAAAAATAGATGAGTTCGAAAAGAATTTCTTAATGGAGTTGAAAAGTTTATTAAATTTGCACTTCAACAAAAGAATTATATGGATGATGATAAAATAAGATGTCTATGTACAAAGTTTGAAAACCTCAAATTTAGAGACAGTGAACAAGTTGGGTGGCATCTGTACTCCAAAGGTTTTGTTGACAATTATTATAATTGGACTTCTCATGACGAACTTTTCGACCGGTCACTTTTACGACAAACAATAAATTCGTCTCGTAACATCCCTAGCGAGATGAGTGGGTGGGAGACTATGATTAAATGTGGTGGAGTCGTAGGATGGTATATGATGTATACGGTGCCTCAACTTCTCACTTTATTTTGGTTTTAGGATTTTTTAAATGTAATACTTTATTTGTCATGGATTTAGACCGTGACAAATTTGAATTATGTAATTCTGATGTATTATTTGTCATGTTGTAAAAGGAAAATAAATTTTTTCTGATATAAAAATGTTTGTCACGTATAATGGCCGTGACAAATTCAATTATTTTTGAAAAATGTTTGTCATAGATGACGTATGTGACAAATTTTGAAATTTTCAAATTCTCGCCTTGTTGTCACGGATTAGTTGTGTGACAAACTTAAATGTGAAAAATTCGATTTTTTTGTCACAAATCAAATCTATGACAAACGTTGTCATAGACGGGATTCCGTAACAAATGTCAAGCCGGAAGGTGTCGCCGGTGATCTTTTTGTCAGGGATTGGTCTGTGACAACTCCGTGACGAAAGTTTGTCATGGATTTCTGGCCGTGACAAATATTTGTCACACCTGTGACATTACAAAAAATTTGTGGCAAAATCCGTGACAATTTTTTTTTGTCACAGATTTTTTATGTTACTGTTCGTGATAAAATCCGTGACAAAAACGCTGATTTTTTGTAGTGGTTAACTTCCCTAGAGAGATAATATAAAGGGTGTACGATGAATGAAAAAGTTCGAAGGATAATATATATTAAAAAGAGCAAAGTAATAAAAAGCAGGAAAGAAATTACATAAAGTATAGGAAAATAACAAAAAGTAGGAGATATAAAGTAGTTTGTAAAAACTAAAAGGCTAAATATAAATAGTGAAGGAGTAAAGGTATTCTGATAGGATAAAATTACTTAATAGAAAAAGGAGAGACAAATAATAAAAACACATCCAAAAAGGGAATGAGAGATAACTAATAAAGAATGAAACAAGTATGTTTTAGTTCGAGCCATTTTCTCTTTATTTTATTATTAAACTCGAGGTTAAGGATATTTTTATTTGGAGGGAAATTTTCTGAGCGCCTATTCCTACCACCGGTTTTAAGGTGGACACCGTACAATCGGTAGCAATTTTGTAATTTAAGTGAAAATTTGGGATTCCGCTAAATGAGCATTAATATTCTATTGAGTATTAGAAGCCAAAAAATGAATATCGCGATCTCTGCTTCATATTTTCTAATTCACCTTTTTATTTTATAAAAACTTATTAAATTATATCTATAATCAACTCCTATGAATTTCAATATGTGAATCTCATGTATTATGGTACTTTGAAAATATGCATTAATATGACATTTTAAAAATGAGCATAACATTAGTACCAGATGAACATACATAACTTGCAAAATGCTCATTGATATAAAATTTGTAAGATTTGTTAGTTAAACATCACAAAATTTTTATTGAGCATCAAACCTCCGTTATTGAGACCAATGAAAATCACGATTTCTATTAAATGAGCATTTATGAATTTTTAGTGAGCATCAAACGATGCAAATGAGCATGTGTAACTTACAAAATGAGCATTGATATGAACATTGTAAGTTTTGTTTGTCGAGCATCAAGGCGTATTCAGTAGGCAACAAACCTCTGTTATTGAGTATTAGGATTGTGCGATTGAGTATCATGATTTGTGTTATCGTGTCTATAATCAACTCTAATGTGAATCTAATGTAATATGAGACTTTTGAAATATGCACTGATATAACATTTTAAAATGAGCATAACAGCGGTATCAAATGAGCATACTTAACTTACAAAATTAGTATCCAAGGCTTAGTCATAGGGTGACCAAGAAGGAATACATGATTGTTTTATTCTAAATATGACTAAAACAAAATAAAGCTCATATATGATTGTTTTATTCTCAGAATAAGACTTATTAACTCATACTTTGACAAACTTTAATCATTTTTTAATAGGAATAAATAATATTTACCTAACAAAACTATCTTGTTCTATTTTGAACCAAATATATATAACTATTTGATGAAGAATGATCTTGTCAAAATTACCTGACAGAATCTGTTATCCGGCAACCTATGTTTGAGGTGCTTCAAGGTGTATTTTTTTGATGAAATTTTGTGATTATGTTCTTAATAACGTGTAGATTATTTACATCAAATTTCAGTTTAAAATATAATCAAGAAATCAATTAAATAAATTATGAAAAAACACTGTGCCAAAATATATATAAAACGACACAATGTTTCCTATAATTTATTTAATTGACTTTCTGATTGAACTTTAAGTTAAAATTTGGTGAAAATAATCTACTTTTTATTAAAAAATAAGCTCACGAAATTTCATCGTAAAATTGAGGTTTCTATCAGGCATTTCTAAGTTTCTAACTGAACTTTTCTGACTATTTCATGTCTAAGGGAGTGTTTGGAACTGCTTCTCTTTTAGAACAAAAGCAAAATCAGAATCTGTTTCCAAAAAATGGTCACCCTCCGCTTTTAAAAAAAGTGATTCTAGGAGTAAATTAGAGCACTAAAAACACTCATGAAAGAGAAGGCGTACACCTACACCCGAGTCTCTATGTATTTCATAATGGTTTGAACTAAAAGTGGCCACACATTAATTTATGTACCCTCTCCTCTCTAGTCTCTCCGGTCGTTATTCCCCGATTTGCCCTAGTTAGTGAAGTACGAAATAGTTTATCGGTTTGCCGGTGTGGTTAAGGTTTTGAAATTCAAGGATACAGCTTCGTACATGTGAGTGGATTTCACTTTTTAATTTACTCCGTATTACAGTACTTCTGAGAGCTAACATATGTGGTCTCTATAAATGCTTTGTAAACGCCTAGAATTCAATCTAGATTTCTGTTGCGTGGTTATCTCTATTTTGCATTCTCCTGATGTTCATAAATATATATTCGTTATTAACACCTTAAACGTGATTGAGACTTTATTTTAACTAAGTTCGCATATCTTAGTGGATTGATTTTAATATATTTGTTCTTTAATTGCATATACTCAAGCTGCTGCGTGGATAATGGCTATGAGAAACTTGGATAGATTGAGTGAACTTTCTTCGGAAATACTTGACAAGATATTGGGATTATTGTCCATTCAAGAAGCTGCTAGAATGGCCATTTTATCTACTTTTTGGAGAGAGATGTGGTTCAATCTTAGGGATCTCAATTTTAATTGTCTGTTCTTCTATGACATTGAGAAGAAATATTCATCTGCTCACAGTGACTTCAGGGCCCAAACATCAAAAACTGAAACTATAAATAGTGATATCTTGACCTCTGCTGGTATGTATGTAGTCAACAAAGTTCTTATAGAGCACAAAGGCCATATTCGCAAATTTGGATTTTCTTTTTTTCATCATGGGAGGAGTTCACTTACATCACGGTCATTTGACATTGATCAATGGCTCCTTTTGATCACACGCAAAGGGGTTGAAGTAATCGACATTCGTTTTCAACGAGACGGAAAAGATGAATACTCGCTGCCGAAATGCATATTCTCTTGTCCAACACTCAAAAGATTGTGGCTCCATGGAGTCTCTGTTGAGCCCTTAAATATGCCTTGCATATTACCAAATGCCACCTCACTTTCTTTTGTAAATGTTAAATTTGATCCTAATGATGCTCTAGATTACAGGGTTAATGTTCCTATGCTCGAGAGATTGTTGTTTATCGGATGTGCTAACATGTTCAGTTTTAACATTACCGCACCAAAACTCTGTGAGTTACAGATTCACTCTTGGTATGACCAGTGTGGTGGTTTCCTCCCAGTTCACTTGGATATGGCAACCGTTAGTACTCTCATTTTAGATGCCCTTTCTCTCAAGGTATGTTAGTCCAATATTTTTCAACTACTCCGGACTACACATTTATTTAGTATGCCCGGCAAAAATTAGTCTAACATTGTTTGTTGGTGCCTTAGAAATTTGTTGAAGAGTTCGCAAACAGTCCACTACAACTACAACCACATGAACTAAATGTGGAGAACCTCTGTTTAACAAATCCATATGATGAAGATGATGCTTCTTCTGCTTTTATTCGTTTGTTGAAGTTATGTCCAAAGTCACGCGATATTCATATGGATATGGCGGTAATATGTTTTTCTTACACAGTAGCTTTGAAATATTCTAGTTTTTCCCAACCTCCTTATGAGAGGTCTTGAGTTCAGTACTAAATGGATTGAGTTTGATCTCTGTTTACCCTAGGCCCCCATCTCCCCAACCCCATACCCCCCATGCGGTAAAAAAAATCTAGTTTTTTCCAATAGTATTGTCATGCATCTGTTAATTTACTTTGTTGTGAACATTGGCTTATTGAGGACTTTTTCTTTTTCTTTCTGTTGCACTTCCTGAAGTTTGTCGAAGCTATGAGAGATTGTTTAGGCACAACGGAGAATTCAAAGGAACTTCATCGCGTGGCTGAAACACGCAACTTGCTTCACACTTTGAGTATTGACTTCTTTGATGCATGTGAGAATTATCCGGCTTTGATCAAGGGACTAGTTTCCTCCTTTCCAACACTCGTGAAGTTTGTCATAAACGATCTCGACTCTGAATTTAATCAAAAGATTTTGGAATTTCCCACAAACGTTGAAATGAAGGTTGTGAATTTTGGTATTGAATGATTTCTGGATTGTGTGATTGGCAGTGTAGGCATTACGTATGGCATTTGCTATCATTTCAATACAATCAATGATTTCTGGATAGCGTAGCCAATTATGGGTACAAACTCTATGAAGTTTCCAGTATAGTATAAGTATTGTTTTGTTGTAACTTGTTAATGCTACTTTGGCTACTTGAAAAAAATGCTGCTTTGGCAAATGACTACTACGTACCGAGTATAATATTAGTGGAGGAATGTTCTTATTCGTACTTAAACATCTAGATGAATGAAATATTTTGTTCAAAACCTGACTTGTGTAAAGTGTGCACATTTTCTGTCGAAGATTATTTTTTTGGGATTTCGTATTCAGATTATGTTCAGTCCACTTATTTGCATTTTAATTATTTAAAATATTGTAAAGGTGTTAATCCATTTGAAAGCTAACTTTCATGGGGTTTCACTTAAAAAGTAAAAAACGGTCCCATGACATTGACCAGTGGCTCCTTGTCGCGCAAAAATTGAAGGTGCTGAAGAAATCCACCTTAGTATTGACTGTGACTCCGTGAGGTAAGAGATGAATACACACACCGGTGGGTGTAGGTGCGAGTAGCTTCGCTGGTAGCGAGGGAGTGCCATAAGGGTTCGGTCCCGGGTTCGAATCTTGACAACTGCGATGAGAGGTTACTATGCTAAAAATGCATAGGGCCTTTGCAAGTACCGGGGACGGAGCCCCACTTTCTATCTGTCAGATTGTGATTATAGTCCAATTTATATCTTCCTATCGTGTCGTTCGGTCGGTGTAGGGGGCTCGGGGATGGGGTGTCATCCTTTTCATCTGAGATGAATACAGAGTGCCGAGGTTGCATATTTTCTTGCCCAACTCAAGAAGTTGTATGGTTCTGGAGTCTTTAAGAAGTCCATCAACTCTACACCTTTGCATATATTTCCAAACATCAACTCACTTTATTTTCTAAGTTGTCTTTAAGAAGATCACAAGATTGAATGATTGATCTTCCCATGCTGGAGAATCTAGCATTTATTAGGTGTAAAACATGGTGCATTTTAACATTGCTGCACCGGCACTCGGTGCTTTAGCAATTAAAGGCCCGGGTTCCCTCTCATCAGTTAACTTGCACTGGGTATCACTTCGTACTCTTAATTTAAATGCCCTATCGCTCAAGGTATGTTGGCCACTATGTTAGCACGGAAATGCAAAAATCATGAGGAAACGAGAAATGAAAAATGTAAGCTTTCACTCAAAAACATTTGCTTGGAGAGTTTTCATAAAGTTTCCGAAATGGAAACGTACTATTTTTCGAAAGTTTTCGTGTTACAGAGGTTGGTCAGATCAAGAAAAGAATATCAAGTGGTGCTAGTGTGTTATAAACCTAACACGGAGTGCGTGGTGCACGGACTAATGAAAAGTGGTGCATGTTATAAACCGGCCGTGCTACATCTTGGTTAGAAAAGCGTTAAACTATATCAACTATGTGTTTCTTTTCTCTAAATGGACCGTGATATCTTTTTAAGGTTTAATGTACCGAATCTGCTCTTGTTATCTCCTCAAGTGGTGCACGGAGTTTCCAAATGGACCATGTTGAATCTCCTCTTGTTATGCACACTTCCGATTTATAAATTTATCGCATGAATAACAGCTGGTGATCTAAAATCGAAATTGTTGTTATAAAACACATGCACCTTTTATGAATATCAAGTGGTGTTAGTGTTTGTGCTAAATCTAGAGTATGGATCTAGTGGTGAGATGAAACAATGACCAGGAACGGATCCAAGGGGGAGGGGGCGGGGGGCGACCGCCCCTTGGACTTTCAAAATTTTCTACTATTATATTGTAGTATTTCTTATAAATTTTTCATAATTTAATTAGATATATATGTTTTCGCCCCCCTTAACTTTTAGTTTCAAAGTTTATATATAGCCTTACATAGTATAATATTTAATTGGAGATTTAAAAGAAGTAAAATCTAAAATAATTTAGATCGTTTAAGACTTAGGATACCTATTAAAAAATCTCCTAGCTTTGTAATATTTAATTATCTTTATTAGATAATTAGTACTTGATAGTATGAAATTGTGTTTGTTTATGTGTGTAATTTTAACTAGTTTTATTTGTTGTTGTTTGGGAAATTACACATTTTTGGTGTAATACTTCAGTTTTCCTATTTTGTTTGTAATTCGTTTAGATTAGGATTATTTAGAGCTTTAACTAGGTAAAGATCATCAAAAGGATCCTTGGAAAGGTAAAGGAAAGGGCAAGGGAACAAGATCAAGTGAAACTTTGGAGAAATAGTCATTTACCCGATCGGGTAAAGCATTTACCCGGTCGGGTATTGACTTGATCCGAAAATCAAATCTGATTTGGAGACCATTTAACGTGCAGACAAAGATTTGGTAAACATTTGTCTTTTACCCGATTGGGTAAATCATTTACCCGGTCGGGTATAATGTGACAGATGAAGGTTCTGGGCACTTACTCAAGAAACCCGATATGGCATTTCAAAAACCCGGTCGGGTGAATGGTCTTGGCAGCTTCAAACACCTATAAATACACCCTTTTTCCTTCCCATTTGATCACCAATTCATATACTCTCTTAAACTCAGTTTAGAATAGTATTTCTTTATATTTTTCTAGCATGTTTAGTCTCCAAATGAGGAGCTAAACTTTCATTTCTTGGTGTTGCTCTTGAAGCTTGTTGATTATTAAAGTTGTGAGTTATTTTCTTAACTTTTTCCCTTGAATATTAATTCTTCCCTTAATCTATCTCTATATTAATGTTAGGGAGTGTTGCTAAGATGACAATTAGTTAACATCTCGACATTAATTACTACTAGAAACGATCAACGAACCAATGGTTAATCGTTGATGGTTTCACAAGTAAGTAACTTCGGTTTATTAATGCACGGTCGTGGTTAATAAACTTAAGTGGGATTAATTGTTTTGGTTAAACCGAAACCGTTGTGTTGAGGTTGTCAATCTCAATTGATTTCATCAATGAGTTAAGATATTAAATGCTACTATTAAATTGGTATACGGCGTTGTTCTATATTTGATTAATAGTGAGAATTATTAATGAACGGTCGTTGTTAATAACTATCCTCGATGAATTGGAGATACTCATCGGTTGAGTATTCGAGAGGGGAGCTATAGATATAACAATGATCGACTAAAATATATCAACAAGTGGAAAGTAGTAAGACCAAGTTCTTTTTATCTTTGAGTTAAATCACATATAATTTCTTTATCTTGGTGTATAAATTAATTAAATTCCAACAATCCCAAAACCCCCTTTTTATTCACTAGTTTCATAAAAAGAGAATTATTCCTTTCCATGTGGATACGAACTCTACTAAGCTATACTACGTATGAGTGTTAGTATTGAGTTTATTTTGACGCACTACGACAAAGTGCTCGTCAGTACTAAATTTTGTAAAACATCAAACGATATTAAATACGAGACATACTAGTTAAATAGTTTTAGATAATATGAAGTGAATCCAAAATATAAATGTTTGTTGACATTAAATTATACAATTCATTTATTTCTTACTTTCTAAAAGCATTAATACAAACATAATATGCACCATTAGACTAGGTCTCAGTCCAGAGAATTTCCTTGGGTCGAGCATTAGACTTTACTTTCTCTGTGATGTTTTCTTTTTCTTCTTCTTCTTCTTCTTCTTTTTTACTTCTTTTTTCTTTCCTTTTTGCATTGTAATGCTTGCGTTTCTTTTTTCAATAAAATTTACTTTTTCCACAAAAAAAAATAATATGCACCATATATATGAATTAACAATACTATGTATAATATTATTCTAAAAATAATAATCTCATACATACTATTGTAATATTAAGAAAAATCCTCGTGACCATGAACACCCTCCTTGGTAGACAAAAATTATGATTAAAAAATAAATTCTTTATTCTGATAATATTCATGTACTTTTAACATCTCGACATTAGTTATAGTATCATTTATTTTCTTTAATCTTCTTCCTTGAATATTAATTAATTCCTATTCATATTTCATATTAATATTTTGAACATTACTTAAAGGATCAACTAGTTTTGTTTCATATACTCCGTATTAATTATTACTAAAATTGATCGATGAATACGCTTTTTAATCGTTCGGTCTTTTCACGGTAGTAAACTTGGATTATTAATGCATGCGTCTCATGGTTAATAATCTAAGGGGAATTAATTATATTGATTAAACCAATAAACCGCTTGTGGTGATGTTATCAATCTCAATCGTTTTCATCTTAAGTTTATTGCTACTATCGGGTTAATATACGGCGCGTGTTCTATATTAACTCGGTAGTAAGTTTTATTAATGAACGCGTCTCGTTATTAATAACTACCCTCGATGAATTGGATATACTCCTCAATTGAGTATTCGAGAGGAAGATAGTTAAAGATATAACCGGGATCGACTAACATTTCATTAAGTGGATAAAAGCAAAACCAAGTCTTCATCTCTATAAATTAAACTCATATAAGTCGTTTATCTTAGTATTAATTTAATTAAATCAAATCAAACTTAAAACCCCCTTTGTTACTAATTAATTAAAAAGAGAAATATTCTTTTCATGTGGATACGAACCTTACTACGTTATACGTAGTACTACATATTAGTGTTGTATTGTATTTGTTATTTTGACGCACACCACGATTTCTTTCCCTTTTGAAGATGAAGACGCAGATGACAACGAGAACCGGCCTTGTTGAACCACCTCTCTTCATTGGACAACCTGCAGATGACACCAAGAACTGGCCTTGTTGAACCAAGTATTTGCATCGCAGGTCAAATCATTGAAATAGAGGACGACGGGCCATGGCCTGGACGGTGATCATTGCAAGCGGCAGCGGTTGGATGCATTTGGCCGACGATCGTACTCCTGGACGGCGGCTGATGGTGGGCCACGGGGCGGCGATGACACGGGGTGTGCGGTCGCAGACGGATGGATCTATGGAGGTGTGAGAATGGAGGCTAAGGTTGGAGAAAAGAGTAGGAAGTTAAGGGTTTTATAGATATAAGCTAAAGGGTATATTTATCCACCTACTAGTAATCTCACCCGTGCGATGCACGGCATGAGATTCTGTTTTTTAAATTTATTTATGCTAACCAATTCAAGATACTTTATTCATTGACGACACTATGTAATGCCATGTAATAGAGATATACATCACCAAACAAACAAAACACACTTAAATATTATGGCGAAAATGAGATTACAAAACATGACTTAAAAGTTTACAACCGTCACACCAATACGTTGACCTAAAAGATACACGTTG